AGATGGATAATAAATGTAAATATTGTAAGTTTAGTTGTGATAGTGGTGGTGGATCATATGATGATTTTTCTGGAATAAAGATTGGAAAGTGGGTGGAGTTGGATGAAAAGTTTAATACAATTGAAATGAAACTCACATATGAAGGTGAATATAATACAAAAGGCACTAAAATAGGAAGATGGGATACTTTATATAATCGAAAATAAATGTAAATATAATAAGTATCAATCTAATAGAGGGGGCGGTTCATATAATGGTGTAGGAATCAAAGTTGGAAAGTGGGTAGAAGTAGATTAAAAATATACCAATAATAATCAACTATCTTATGAAGGTGAATATAATATCTAAGGTAAAAAAGAAGGAAGATGGGATGCAATTTATGAAATTAAAGATGATGAGGATGATGAGGTTCATAATATATTTGTTTGTGGTGGAGGATCATATGATGGTTCTTTGGGAACTAAGATTGGAAAGTGGGTAGAGTTGGATGAAAATTTTCATCATAATTATGAACGTTTTGAACTTTCAAATTAACTCACTTATAATGGTGAATATAACAATATGGGTATAAAAATAGGTAGATGGGACACTATGTTTAAAGAGAAATATTCGAAATAATATAAACAAATGTAACTATTAAGAATTTCATTATGTTAGTGGTGGCGGGTCTTATTAAGGTTCTTTGGAAATCAAGGTTGGAAAATGGGTAGAGTTGGATGAATCTTATAATGAATAGGTGAGGAAACTCATATATGAAGGCGAATATAATATGAAAGGTCTCAAAACAGGAAGATGGGATATTTTATATTATGGATAATAAATGTAAATTTTATAAATATCAATCTGATAGAGGTGGTGGATCATATGATGATTTTTCTGGAACTAAAATTGGGAAGTGGATAGATTTGTGGAATAATCATACTTCTCTTACTACTAATGGTGAATATAATATGATGGGTATTAAGATAGGTCGATGGGTTATTCGTAATTGTAAAGATATTAGTAATCGTTAAAAAAAAGAAGCACAATATAAATAAATGTAAATATTATTCGTATTGATATGATAGTGGTGTTGGATCATATGATAGTACTTCAGGAATTAAGATCGGAAAGTGGGTAGAGTTGGATTAAGATTTTTATGGGAAGGGCAAGGAACTCAAATACGTGGGTGAATACAATAAGAAGGGATGGAAGGTAGGGAGATGGGACATTATGTTTAAGGAATGGCATTAGAAGGAATTTTTATAAATGTAAAGAATTATAAGATTGAACATTTTAGTGGTGGAGGATCATATGATAATTCTTAGCAAATTAAGATTGGAATGTGGATAGATTTGAAAGATGGGTTTAACGAATGGTATTAAATAATTTTTAAAGGTGAATATAATAAGATGGGGATGAAAATTGGTAGATGGGACATTTTGCAGCGGTTATGGAAAGAGTCAAAATTTAAATAAATGTAAATTAATAATTATGAATATGCTAGTGGTGGTGGGTCATATGATTGTACTACAGGATTGAAGACAGGTTCATGGATTGAGGTGTAAAATAGCTAGAAAATTTCTCAAGGTGAATATAATACAAATGGAATGAAAGTAGGTACATGGATCAATATGGAATATGATAATAAAAATGAAATATTTTAAAAAATCAAAGAAATTAGAATTTGAATTATATTATAAGATATATGGAATTACATTATTATTATATTCAAAATTTAATTGATTTTTTGTATATTTTTTTTTAATTTAAAGAGGAAAATAGAAATTGAAAAGGAGTAAATTAAGAATAGAAAGATAGAAATCGTAAATTATGAATTAAAAGAATAAAAAATGGAAAATATAAAATTTTAAAATGGAAAATTAGTAAATTTTACAGTAGATAATAAAAAACAAAAAGTCACAAAAAAAAGTTAGAAAGTAGAAATTATTAATTTTAAGCGGAAATTCATACAATAAAAATGGAAATAATTAATTTTGAATTGAAAAGTATTAAAATAGAATTATAAAATTAAAACACTTGCCATCAATAAATTTCACTAATAGTAATCTTACTATAGCTTCATTTTTTCTTTCAACAATTCAAATCCTTTTTTATTATTTTATGAAAATATCTAAAATATTGAGTTGTTTTCTTTACTCACCTCGTGCATACTTTCTTCCAAAATTACAAGTTCAATTCAATAAATTTTGTATTTTCTTAAGTATATACTTCAGAATGTAATATATTTAAAAAAAAAATTATATATTAATTATTAAAGATTTTTATTTAAATAATCTATCACCTTCCTATTTTAAAAAAGTAATTTTTAAAACTATTAAAAACCTTCTTTAAAACACTTAAATAGATCCAAATTACTGAATGCTTTATGTGTTTCGAAAAAGAATAAAAGAGTCAAAAGATAATAATTTTGCTAAAATGATATAAAATTTGATTAATGCCAATTTCCATAAAGAGAATAAAATTATGTGAATAAACTAAAAAACTATCTGAGAAAATAAAATAATTAGAACATGCAAGTTGGAGCGATATTAATGTAAGCAAAATTTAAAGATCCTAAAGACAAACATATTTTGATAAGAAAATACAATAAGTTAAGGCAAACTTCTATATAAATTAGTAAATGTGATATTATCAGTATTTTAAGTCTTTTATAATTAGTGCAAGTGGATTTAGTTTAATTGATCATAAAATAATCACAAAATATTCCAAGAATATATTAATCAACTTTTTTGTAAACATTTAGTTAAATTCTAAAGAAAGTAATTCGGATTTATTGCATAAATAATATATATTTAAAAAAAAATAGAATAATTAAATTATGTCTTACGGAAATAAAATAATACCAAGTGTTCCTAAATTTACAGAGTTTAAGGATTACACTTCTAGCTAAGTTTTATAAATGCACACTCCTCACTTAATATAGAAATAACATAAATAAGATTTAGTGTTATCATCTGAGTATTCTATGGAAGTAGAACCCTCTAAAAAGTATACATTATAATCAGCACATATGCAATTAACAGGTACATTTAATGTCTATAAAAAAGGACATTAGAGTGAGGTATACTGTGTTAAATATTCTCCAAATGGTGATTATCTCATAACAGCAGGATTTGATAAGAAAATATTGATCTGGGACATTTATAACAATTGTACAAATATAGGAGTTTTGGGAAGTCATAAAAATGCAATTCTTGATGTTGCATGGTAATATGATGGAGTAAGATTATTTACAGCATCAGCAGATAAGACTATTTAAATATGGGATATGGAAACATATTTACCATTAAAAAAATTAAAAGGACATTAAAGTTATGTTAATTGTTGTTATCCTTAAAAAAGAGGATAGGATCTTTTAGCAACTGGAGGTGATGAAGGTTATACTAAATTATGGGATTTAAGAACGAGAAAGTTAGCTTTCGAAATTTAAGGCAAAGTAACAATGTTATTTTGAATTACTTTAGTATCCTATCACTAGTGTTTGTTTTACCGAAAACGGGGAAAGACTTTACACTGGATCTTTAGATAATATAATTAGATGTTATGATGTTCGAAAATAAGAGATTGAATATACATTAGATAATCATACAGATACTGTTACAGGATTAGCAATTAGCAATGATAATTCTTATTTATTGAGTAATTCTATGGATATGACAGTTAGAACTTTTGATATTAGGTAAAATATTTTTGTATTTCTAGACCTTATGTTCAAGGAAAAAATAGATAGGTAAGAGTATTTACTGGTGCAACAGCAAACACGGCTGAAAAAAATCTACTAAGATGTACATGGAGTCATGATGATTAATACATTTCAGCTGGGTCTGCTGATAAGAATGTTTATATTTGGGATTTCAACTCAAAAAAAGTTATTCATAAATTAGGAGGTCATTAAGGAACGGTAATTATTCATCTTACATCAAATAGGTTAATGAAACTGCTTTTAGTCCAAAAGATAAATTGATAGCCTCAGCTAGTAATGATAAAACAGTCATTATTGGGGAAATCCCAGAAGTAACTTTGTGATCATTTATCAACAATTATATTATTCATATAATCTATTTTATTTTTATTTATTTTATTACCATTAACTTCTCCTTTATCTATCTTTTTTATCAAAAAACCTAGAATTCCAATTTTATTGCCATAGTTTAGTTATCCAAATGTTATATCAAAACATCATTATATTTACAGTAGAATTTTGGAAAACTAACTAGATCATATTTCTAACATTTCATATTAGTTTATGATTTTATTTTTTTAAATACATCTATGATTCACTAAAAAATCACATTCCTGCTCTTACTAGAAAAATATGTACCTAAAATTATGAATTTATCTAATTCCTAATTTACTTTAAATTAATAACAATTATTTAAAAAGTAAAGCTTTAAATTTATATAAATCAAATAATTTGATTATGAAATTTTGTCTCTAAAATTTGACAATATATTTATTATAGTTAATATAAATGTTTTTTTTGTGAATCTTTATTTAATATGAATCGAGATAATCATTCTTATCTACAAGTAGGTATCCCTTAGGTTAATATATTGTTAATAATCCATAATTAGAGAAAGCATGTTAACGAAATTATTTATCGTTTTTTTTT